CGTAGATTTGGTCAACTGAATGCTAACAGGTTGACAAATCTAGAGGATGAAATTCATAGATGCAAGCAGGGAACCATGACGATTACACAGTACTACACTTTGATTAAGGGTCTGTGGGATGAATATATAGAATATAGCCCAGTTGTGGAATGTAATTGTATCCCAGGGAATCCAAATCCTTGTAATGCAGTAATGGCTTACAACCAGAAACAGGAAACTGATTACCTCATCAGATTTCTCAGAGGACTGAACCCAGAATTTGAAGGCGTTAAGAAGCAGCTGCTGATGTTGAAACCACTTCCCACAGTGGCTGATGCTGTTGATGATCTTCTACAACATGAGCAGGAATTGAAAGCTAACCCTTCAAGTGGAACTAAGAAGCCTCAGTCCATTGCTTTAGCAGTACAAGGAGACAGCAACAAACAGTCTGATGATAAGGGTCAAGCTAAGAAGTTATGTAAGTTCTGTAAGAAGACCAATCACAACATAGAGGAGTGTTGGACCTACAAAAGGAAAACGAGAGAGCAGGAACAAGGCAACAACTCTCATGCTGGATCCCAGAAGTTTGTAGCCTCAGTCTCACAGGGTAACTCAAGTGGAAGTGAGACTACCTCAGAAGTGAGTTATCACAATGACAACAGTATGGTAAGCCATTCTACTCCCACTTTCACACCAGAAGAGTTGAACAAGCTAAGGTACTCACTGCATTGTGGTGCTCCCAACCCTGCTCCCATTGCTCAATCTCCTTCCCCATCTCCACCAACCTCCCCTTCCATTCACCATCAAGCCTATTCTGTCTCCCAGTATCTGCCACCTTTCCCAAACTACTCAGGTAAATATGTGCTATCATCTACTGTAGTACAGAACCATTATAAGCCTGATAGTTTATGGATACTAGATACAGGAGCATCAGATCACATTGCTTGCTCCCTAGACTTGTTTACAGAATATAGACAAGTCCAAAACGTCTTTGTGCACCTTCCAAACTGTTCTAAGGTTGTAGTGAGTCATGTAGGAACCTTGAAACTGCCATTTGGCTTATACCTATACAATGTCCTACTAGTACCAAGTTTCTCATTCAATCTAGTTTCAGTCAGTCGACTTACACATGACTTCCCCATCTCCTTACACTTTCATTCTGATGTTTGCCATATTCAGGACCTTCTAAACAAGAAGACGATTGGTTTAGCAAAAGAAACTAAGGGTATCTACCAGCTTACCTTTTCCCACCAGACAACAGACCAAACTTCTGCTTCATTTCCAAGCCAAGCTGCTAGTGTTTACAATTTCAACCCTCAACAAGTTGACCTGTGGCATTGGAGATTAGGACATCCCAGCAATGATAGACTTAGTTTATTGCAGCACATTGACCCCTCTGTAATAGATTCTAAGGTTGATCATTGTAACATCTGTCATTTCTCTAAACACAAACGACTACCCTTTCCAGTTAGCACAAACAATGCAGTTAGACCTTTTCAGCTTGTTCACATTGACATTTGGGGACCTTTGTCTGTAATGTCATATGATGGTTACAGTTATTTTCTTACAATTGTTGATGATTGTTCAAGGGCTGTGTGGGTTTACTTAATGCATGGTAAACATGAAGTCAGAGATCTTTTCAAGGGATTTTGTATGCTGGTTAAAAATCAGTTTGCTAGTTCAGTGCAAACAGTTAGAAGTGACCAAGGCAAAGAGTTTGATATGTGTGAATTCTTCATGAATGAGGGCATAGAACATCAGATGTCATGTGTTTATACCCCTGAACAGAATGCCAGGGTGGAAAGAAAGCACCAGCATATACTGAATGTTGCTAGATCCTTAAGATTCTAGTCTGGTGTTCCATTGGAGTTTTGGAGTGATTGTGTCCTCCATTCTGTTTATCTTATTAACAGAATGCCAACTCCAGTTCTGAACAACCTCTCACCTTTTGAAGTCCTATACAAAAAGCCACTTGGGAATCTCAGAGTCTTTGGCAGCCTAGTTTATGCTGGAACTCCAATTTCTGGCAGGACAAAGTTTGCCCCCAGGTCCAGACAGTGCATATTGTTGGGCATCCCTCCTGGAATCAAGGGCTATAAGCTCCTAGATATCCATACCAACCAAGTTCTAATCTCAAGGGACGTTGTCTTTTATGAATCAATACTCCCATTCAGGACTGATACCATTGCCTCTTCTCCCCCTCCTGTGCCTGAACCTACTCCTTCTCCTGATGTTCCTACCTTTGTTCCTGATCTGGTCATTCCCAGCACTTCATTTCCAGTACCTCAGCCTCCTTCTGAATCACCCTCAGCTGATGGGGGGGATGGACTGGATGATCTCACCTCATCAGAAGTTGCTGAGCTTGAGCCAGAATTGGAACCTCAGCAGGAGTATGAGCCACCACCAAGGCCTATGAGGAACTATCAACTCCCTAGTAAATATACTGATTGTGAGCTGGATCCCAATCTGCAATTTGGTGCTTTTGGATCTTCTGGACAAAATGCAGCTGTAAGCAGATATCCATTAGCACTGAATGTAGATCACTTGAACCCTAATGATAGAAAATATGCTCTAAGCATCATTCATCAAGAAGTACCACTCACATATCAGGAAGCTATAAAGTATGAACATTGGAGAAACGCAATGAGAGAAGAATGGGATTCCTTGGAAGCTAACCAGATATGGGACATAGTCCCTCTACCTGAAGGAAAGAAGGTAATTGGCAACAAGTGGGTCTATAAGATCAAACTTAAGCCAGATGGTTCTCTAGAAAGGTTTAAGTCAAGACTGGTGGCAAAAGGGTTTACACAGGTATATGGAATTGACTTTCTGGATACCTTCTCCCCAGTTGCTAAAATAAACTCAGTCAAAGCTTTATTAGCTGTTGCAGCAGTGAGGAATTGGACTTTGGAGCAGATGGATGTATCAAATGCATTCTTACATTGAGAACTGAATGAAGAAGTATACATGCAGCTGCCACCAGGGTTAGATTTGGAAACTTCTGGACCACAGAAAATGGTTTGTAGATTGAAGAAATCATTATATGGATTGAAGCAAGCTTCAAGGCAGTGGTTTGCCAGATTAAGCAGCTTTCTTCTGAAAAATGGCTTCAGTCAATCTGCCTCAGACTACTCCCTATTCACTAAGTGGATTAGAGGTAGGATTGTTGTGTTATTGGTTTATGTTGATGACATAATAGTGGGAGGTGATGCTCTGAAAGACATAGAGCAAGTGAAGAAAACTCTAAGTCAGGAGTTTAAGATGAAGTTACTTGGTCCCTTGAAATATTTTCTAGGTCTGGAAATAGACAGAACAGCAAGTGGCATAAGTGTTTGTCAGAGGAAGTATTGTCTAGAATTGCTGAAGGAAACTGGTTACCTAGATGCAAGGATGCCAAACACCAATTGACTACAAGGTGAAACTTTCAGCAACACAAGGCAAGCCATTGACAGATGCTGAGCAGTACAGAAGACTGGTTGGTAGATTGCACTATGTTACAATCACCAGACCAGACCTGGCATTTGCTGTCCAACAGCTATGCCAGTTCCATAAGAAACCTAATGAAGAACATCTCCAGGCAGCCTATCGAGTTCTCAGATACCTGAAGAGTGCACCAGGACAAGGCATTCACTTTGACAGTAATGCTGACTTGAAACTTACAGGTTTTTGTGACTCTGACTGGGCAAGTTGTCCTGATACCAGAAGGTCAACTACTGGATACTGTACATTCTTGGGGAAATCACTTCTTACCTGGAAAACCAAGAAGCAGACTACAGTATCCAGATCTTCATCCGAAGCTGAATACAGAGCACTGGCCATGGCAGTTTGTGAGATGGAGTGGCTAAAAGGATTGCTTGAGGAGATGAATGTGAAAGTCCCTCTACCAATCACAGTCTTTTGTGATAACAGGTCAGCCATACATATAGCTGAGAATCCTGTGTTTCACGAGAGGAAGAAACACATAGAGTTTGACATTCATGTCGCTAGAGAGAGGATCAAGTCAGGGCTGATCAAGTTAGAGCATGTGAGTACAGTTAACCAATTGGCAGACATATTCACCAAAAGGGTTGGAGCAAGCACGACTCAAGGATTTGTTGGCCAAGTTGGGAGTCATTCTACCTTCCACAACTTGAAGGAGGGTGACAGAGTTGATCAAATGAAGAAGAAATCCAAGTTGCAGAAGGATTGAACTGCAGATGAAGAAGAAGGCCTGGAACGTTTCTATATGAACGTTTCAGGTAAAGAAGAGACGTTTTATGTCTTAAGTGGTGCTGCGCACCGTTTTGTCTTTGTGGTTGATTAGCCGTTAAAGTACTGTTTAATATTTAAACAAAGCCAGTCAGAATGTGACATGTGGCGATTATCTGTAAAACGAATTACAAGCTGAATATAAAAGAGAACAGAGCAGCACACTGCTGACTCTGAATTTTCGGCCACAATCTACCCTAGTTCTTGAATCTCAACAGCGGAAACCATTAAAAATCACTACACAAATAAAAACATACTACAAATCTACAAAATTGGCTTCCACTGCCATGCTCGCTGGGAAGCAGTTGAAGCTTATTTTCCGCCTCTATAGCGGGCGGGAGGCAAGGGCGGTGTGTGGAAGTCGAGGATGACGAAGGCGACAGAGGTGAAGGCAAGAACATGGAAGGCCAATTTGCCTCTAAAAACTTGCATGTGGGAGTCCTGGTGACGGCGATAGAAAGAGCTGGGAAGGAGATTCGACTCCAAGTGTAGCGACGGTAGGTGACAGTGATGGAAAGAGCGGCGATTGCGGAGTTGAACCGCTTGGGAAGAGAGAGAGAGAGAGAATTCCTAGGCTAGGATCTAGTACAATCTTACCTAAAATGCCCCTAACAGCAAACAACCTTTGGATTGACTAAAAAATAAATGGACGAGATGGGAATGGTTATGACTGTACTAACCACTTATAAAGTTAGTATCCCATCCCATCCCATCCCGATAATCTGAGAAATTCTTGAGTGCTCCGGGTATACCACGTCACCCGTGCACCGTCTCAATAAAAATGTGCCACGCGTTACTAAATAAAAAACAGTTGTGCTTCTGCGGTGTGGAATCGACGCGCCGTCAAAGTGCCTGGAGCTGACGACAAAACCCCGTCGAAGATGAAATTAGCTTCTTCGTAGGATGCAGATGGGAAATCCCAATCTAGAAAAAACCCAAAACCAAAAAAAAAAAACCTTGCATGGAGCTCCTGTCTCCACTGTCAATAGCTTCGATTGCTGAAACCTTCCCTCCGGTCGCCGACTACCTTATCGCCGGCGGCAGTTGAAGCCGCTGACGCTCCTTTCTCCGGTGAGCCCTCACCATCCTCATCCAAAATCAGCCTAAACAAGAATAAAACCCAGATTAACAGCCAAAAAATGCAGATTGGATAAAAAAAACATTCTTTTACCAACATGTGCAAGGCGAAATCGATAAATCACCGATCGAGATCCGTCCTAACTGAGTTGGAGCCATGAAAATTGGTCCTGGATTTACCTGGGGCTCGGTCCAGATGAATGAAGAGGCGGGCAGGAGAGGAGATCCATTCATTCCTTCCTCTGATTGGATGGGTTTGCTTTTTGCTCGTTGGAGGAAAGAAGAACAAGAGATGGAGAATTTTTGGGGGTTTTCTTTAAGAAGAGAGAAGGAGTAGGAACACGTGGCACATTTTTATTGGGACGGTGCACGGGTGACGTGGTACACCCGGAGCACTCAAGAATTTCTACGATAATCTCACGTGTGAAAGATATGATAAATTTAATGACCAAATTAGTATTTAATGATGCTCTGCCTTTTCCAACTGTAGCGTCTCCAAATAGATGAGTCTTCCTCTACTTTAACCGATCGCTTGATCATTTCAAAATAATTTTTTTTTGTGTGTATAATTCATTTTCAAATGAATTCTTATATTAGGAATGCCATTTTCAAATTTTAACCGAATGAATTGGTCACATTTGAAAGACATACAGAAATGAACTCAATAATAATTTCCCAAATATATCCTTCGCTCATGGATCATTATCATAGCCAAACGTGAGAAGTTCACTTTCCACTATAACACTTAATGGATGCCCTATGAAGTAAGTATGTTGTTGGATAAGGACTCAGGAGAAGGTAATGTAATTGTCAGGCATGCAAATGCAAGCCTCTAGTGTATAGTGATATGATTGCATTTCATGATTAAGAAGCAACGCCACGGTAACTTACAATAAGTAATATTATTTCTTTAGGTGATCCAATCCAATCCATGCATATTATGAACTCCAACGGCATCCCAATCTATGGGGTCGTCCAGGAACTGAAAGCTTCTGTTAGAGCCACTCTAGGATAAGTTCTTTCGAGTTAGGTAATATATTTGGCTGAAATTTGTAAATTAAGTGTAGACTTTATTTGGAAATTCCACCAAAATTCTTTTGAAAATTTAAATTCATAAGACTTTATTTGGCCCCAACTTCATAGAATTCAAATTCTAGAAAATTTAAATTTGAAAATAAATTCTTTTACATACCAAACATATAAATACTTCATTCCAAAATGAATTCTATTCAAATTTTTATAGAATTCATTTATAGCAAACAATAATTAGTTCCAAACCTTCCGACCACCGGTAGTAGCAATGTCCACTGCCACTGCCGCCTTGTTCGCTGCAAAACCCTTCTCCGTTTCTTCGTCGTTTCCTCTCGCTTCTAGAAGCGGCAAATAGATTGGATTCATGGATCACATGGATTAGTGGATCCATGTACAGGATCAAGTGGATTGGTAAATTATCCATGAATCCAAAGTGACCATTGTTGAAACGATAGAATAAAGTTAGTGGCCACTAATAGAATAAAATATTTTTAGTGACAAACATCAACTTTTTAGGTAATATTAGTGAACATACTTATAATTTACCGAAATAAATCTCAATCCATTTTCATAATTCGTTTGAAAAATATAGATACAAATTGAAAAGCAATCTAAAAGTACAAATCTTTTTATCTTTTTCTCTTTTTGTTTTCATCTATTACTAGTTTTGAGACTGCAGCGTGAGCTTAGCATCTTGTTTTTTTACCCCTCAAGAACCTCGATTAGGACAGGAATTCGCGAAATGGGAAGGATCACCGCACACGTAGCACCTTCTGCCTGACAATTCCTCGCCTGTCGCCGAGACGAATGTGGCATCCCGCGCCGACACGAATCCGTTCTGCACTCCTCTTCCTCTGCTACCGCCACCGCCACCTCCACCTCTTCCGCCGCCACCCCCGCCCCTCCTGCGGCCGGCGGTTGCTGAGCTAGAACCCCTCGAGCCATTTGCTCGCGGGACACTTCTCTGGGGCCCACCGCCATTTGCAAGACTATCCTCCCACCTGCATGCACGACAAAGTTCGCCAATAAGAAAAGGAATTAGGTGACTGGTGATAACTTGTGTCTCAAGTTATCGGAAGATACAAGAGAAAGGGGCTTTTTTCTTTAACGTACGCGAAGAAGTTGCAAGCCTGCGAGTTACAAGAGTAGAACTTCCTCCCTCTGTTGGCCTCCGTGTTTGCTGTTCGCAACGTGCATGGCGCTCCACAGGTTGTGCATGTAACTGACGATGCAGATTGTTCTGCACGTACGGCAAAACAACAGCATTTGTGAGATCATAAAGACCAATCGTACTGGTTTTAACATCGTGCTTCATCATCACGATTTTTTACGTCTCTTTTATCAAACAACTATGGTAAGGTATGACAAATAATGGACCTAGTAGTCCTAATGATGATGGAGGGGACAAGTATGTACCGTTTTGTTGATTCGTTCCACGAGATCGAGCACTACGAGGTGGTGCTGACTGCTGCTGCGATGGGCAGTCCATTGAAGCATGGCCAGGTTGGTTACAGTATATGCAAGGGTTCTGTCCTTGTCGTGGGTTGCTGCGTGTTGGAGCAGCACCTCGGCCTCTTCCTCCTCCTGCTGCTGCTGCTGCAGCTGCAACACGAATTGGAGGATGGTTCAAGTCATTGTAGAATTATGCCTAGAAATGCATACGAAGTCCTCGTATTAATACATGAACAGACCTTGTCCACGGGTACCAGTTCCACACATCTCTGTCAGCTCTCTGAGAGTTTGGTCGCAGCCACCGATGCAGCCTTACGTCAAGTGAGGAAAAGGAAACCATCGTTAGGCAGGGAGTGTCCCAACAAAAGGTAGATATCAGAGAGATAAGCTCGCCAATGAAAACTGAAAGGCCTTTGGCTGAGATACTCTGTATGAGATGCAGGGCTGAGAACTTGTAATGAAGAGTAGCTATGTATAACTAGGGACTGAAAAACTTTACCCAAATGCTCCACATTGAATCCCGGTGGTATTTCCAGCTGCCGAAACTTGAACTGAATCAAATAAACAGGACCTGGAAAATCATGATGATGTGAAAATGAAGAATATAGTTCTAGTGCAAATACCGGATATTCGTAATGCTTTCAATTTATTGTTAAATGGATGAGAAAAGATGCAGATAAATTCTCACATAAATTTAGGAAAAAAGGAGGATAACGGTGTGTGGTTAAATGTTCAAGGGGTTAAGACTTGTATCAAAAGGAAATAACAAACGATTATCTTAGGCTCCATTTTGGTAAAGATAAAGCAGATACACACTGTAAACAGTCACCTGGAGTGCAGGAACCACAAACGTTGGTGGTTACGGTGGCCTCTAATACAGGTCCCGGGAGCCAGACAACATTCCTGCACTGAAACATAGGGATGAAGAGACGTTTAATGCTTTGCAATAATGCTTGAAGATGTATCTAAACTCTCAGGGGGAATAAGTTAAAAACAATTTGACACCAAACTCTTTGAGCAAGCTTCGTGGAAGGAGAAAAGGAGCGTATAGAACAAGAACAAGTTATTGGAATACAAGAAAAACATCACATGAAATGATATGTAACATCAGACAACTGAATCCATAAAGAGATACTTTGTAGAGCCAACCTGTGGGAATCCCGAGCATCCAACCATGAACTTGTTGTCCTGTTAACAACCATGAAAATAACATTAAACTATATCCTCCTGAATTAAGGAAACAAAATAAAAAACAATAACTTCAGAATAGGAGCACCAAGTGGCACTTATTTGAGACCAAATTGGTCATAAACATATGTTCTATACATCAAACCCGACATCCGGTCGTTTTTAACAGAGTCTTGATGTAACTGAGAACTAGTAAGTCATGGGTGTTGACAAGTAGTTACGGAATAAAAATAATGACCTATTATGAAAAAAACCAGTACCCGGTTTCGCTTCAACACCATATTTGACTCCTGGCACAACCCACATAAGCGAACAATTTCCCCTGTTGCATATTGGGCATCTGAAGCAGATCTATCAGTTCTGCTTAACAAACAAAGTATTAGTCATTTGATCCGGGAAACTACAATGCATGTTAACTGGAGGAAAGACCTCACCTTTCAAAGAAAACATCCATAGCTTCCAAGAGTTTTGTTCTGTTCAACTTGGCCTGCATAAGTTCAAGTTAGCAGTGCCAATCAGATGATAACGTGTATGAAGGACAACAAGGCATGAAAGGAAGCAGGATGGAGAGTTTGTTTCACAACACTGATCAGTAGATACTTGACTTGAACACTAGCCGAGTGCTCAAAAATCCATATGGATAGTGCAACCACTAATGCTACATTAAGAGATGTTACACCGACATGACCGACATGGACATCAGAGACTATAGGTAAATTGTTTGAATCTAGAGAGCAACTGATCACCAAAAAACATTACTAAATGAAAACAACTTACATCTATGAAGCAAGCTTTCATTTGTTGTAAGGAAGTAGCTAGAACGTCAGCTTTACTTTTATGGCCCACACTTACTTCCTTCATATCATATTCCATCATCGACCGAAGATTTGGTTTCCAAAGCTCATACCTGGCAAAAGGAAATTCCACATTGTAGGTCACTATAACAGTCTGATGAGACTCACTCAAAGACAATTGTCCGTGAACATATATTTCCACGAGCATAAGATGTACATGACAAATAACCATCATGATACCAATAGTTTTTTATGATACATCATGATACCAATAGTTAACAAGGAACGATTGACAAGCAAATCTAGAAGGATCAACTTGGTAATTAGAGGTGGCAATTTCAATCCAATCCACCAATCCAATCCATCAATCCATTAAAAATATCCACCTAATCCAATCCATTTAAATCCAATCCATTTGATCCAAATCCAATTGGATTGGTGGATTCATGGATTGGATCCATGGATCATTGGCAAATTACGGTTTAATACCTATAATTTTTATTTTTTACATTTTGGTACCTAAAATTTAATTTTTTATACGAAAATTATCATTGAAAAATTACGTTTTGGTACCTAAAATTTTTCATTGTGACATTTTAGTACCTAAACTTTTTACATTTTACATATTGGTCCTTGGTTGAGGATGTCATTTGGATTCATGGATAATCCACCAATCCACTTAATCCAATCCATGAATCCACCAATCCATTAGATCCAATCCATTTGATCCATGGATCCACCAATCCAATCCACCAATCCACCAATCCAATCCATTTGCCACCTCTATTGGTAATGCCTGGGGTTCTATCCAATAGCAACTCTAAGGCAATGTAGCTGAAGTAAGGCAACTGTTTTCTAGGTAAAATGAAGTAGATTACTCACCCCATTTCATCATATCCCATGACTAAAGCCTCGCCCTGAAATCAAATAATAGTGGCAGTAAATAAATGAAATGTGGAAGGATATACCAACAAAACTTCCATTGACAGTAATCTTTCATATGCAAAGAACAACTTGTACAACAGAAGAAGGGTAGCAGAAGTTTTTCATTAACAAACTAGGACGGCATATGTATCATAGAGACAGAGCAAAGCAGAATTACAAGATTAGTTGGTGAGAAACGTGTATTTGCATCCTTAGTCACATAGAACCGATCTAGCAGCTTCTTTATGTGATCATGCATTGTTGCATCTGTGCCAATACCTGCCTTGTAATACCAAAATAAAGAAGAAATGACCGATTTAGAGACTACAATGATCATGGAAGAATTAGTAAACAACAAAAGCCATCCACCAAACTTCTGTACAACGCAATGCACATCTCAAAGTTCTCAGTGTCTTACCTTATCCATACAACCTAGTAAATCAGCTTCACTCAGCAAAGGTGGTGGCCTAGTGATTCCCGAATCAAGGGTAAGCGTGGTTGGAATGAACTACACCATTTTCCAAAAATTAATGCGCATAGTGTGTACAACAAAGCAAGTCAAAGATAAAACGCCTTCATACATGAGGAAGCAAACCTGTTGTCCTTGATCATAGGTTGGAAGCATTGAATTTCCCCAGGACTCAAACCGGTAGACATCCAAGTAATTTTTCTGACAAAAAAGACCCAAGTACATAGATCAAAATCAGTATTGGCACCCTTAAAAGGCCTTGAAGCAATCAAACCCGAATCCACAAGAATACCAAGTTTCCCCATCCTTCCTAGTATCTTAAGGATATCCTACCTCACTCTGACCATATACTCCGGGCAATGTTACGTGCTTTCGTTAATGAGTAACACACGCAACCCCTTCAATAATACAGTAAATTCAAATATTAGGATACTTACGGCTAGTATCATCCTCCCTGATGCACAAAACAGCTCACCGGCAATATCAATTTCAACGGTGGTTTCAGCCCCTACAGCGGGTCTTGAAACACAGGCCAGAAAATGGCGAACCACAAACTCATATACTTTCTGAGACAAAATGTAAACGAGATTACTCAAAGCTCTCAATTAGTGTCAAGGACATATATAGTCTCAAACGAGTTATTTAGGGCGGTCAGATCAACTCACATGGTGGTCTTGACTCCAGCCTGACTCCCCGGAAGAATATTTGGTTGGATGAATGGGTGGATGAGCCTTATCATCATGTCCTCCGTTACCAGGGTTTCTCCAGAGTTCTGCTTCAGGATCTAACAACCTTTGTGCATATGAACCCCATGAAGGATGGCCCGCTTGCTCTTGTACAATGGCCTACACCATCTTAAACGTGTGGATAAGTAACCGTAGTAGGAATTTTCAGCAAAACATCGTCTTAAAATGAGCATTAAATTCAATTTGCTTGACAAATGAAACATCCACAATATGGCCAATGATGTAGAGATAGAGAGGCTATTTGCAATATGTTGGGTAATAACTGAATCAGAACCAGATACAGCACTAAATTGACAAAGGTGTCCTTAGATATATTATTACTGATTAATCTAAATTCATGATAATGAAGAAAATCACTTAGTACAAATCAGAAACTCAGGCCAAGAAATCCTGGTGAAGTTGAAGTTCCTTAGACCAGCCAGCTATGCCATAGCACTAGAATTGAGCGTGTTACCAACCATTTACTAGAGACTTTTTTAGATAAGGGTGATATAGGTTTACTTTTTGTGGTTAGGTACTGACGCTTACTATGTAATTCAGAGGACTCCAGACCACATTTTGTCACAGCGCCAAAACAATTTTAAAATCTTATAAGAAAGCAACAACAAAAGTCACCTACCCGCAGGTCAGTCCCGCTAGAGAAGCTATCAGTCTCGGTACGAGGATAACTAATGAAACCAGATTGGTATAGATCTTCAGCAACCTGATGCAGCCAAGGAAAAATTGGAGAATGATAGCATCAAACCTCAATCCGTTAAATTCTACAATGCATAAACCAAATGACCACAAACACAGCTGATCCACGCACAGAAAGAGAGGCGATGACAGCCAGAACTTTGCTTGATGAGAAGATAAAAATAAGCTCCAGAAGTAGCAAACAGCAAATGCATGATTTACTATCAGTATATGCTACTGTATATAATTACACCAAGGATACAGAAACAGCAATCTATCGTACAAAGGAACAGTACGTAACCCATTCTCACCTTCATGGTCTGCTCAGAACTCATCCGGAAGTATCGTGAAGCTCGTTTCCCAAGCTCAACTGTGCTCAAAGGAAATGGAGGATGCTTAAGTCTCTCCTGCTTTTGAACTTTTGTCACCTGTTGAGCAACTGAAAAAGTTCAAGCCCTAGTCCCCATTTTAACTCCAGATAACTTATTTCTATAGCTTACCGTTGCAGTTGGTTCCTCAACGCACATTTCATACAGAGTAACCACAGAAATGTAGTCAAAAAGATGTCCACGCCTGGTATATTGTGTCCATTAATAAAGTAGGCACTGCACAAAGACAAATTACAAAACAACAAACTGAAATGCTTCCAATCTTACGTCCAGTTGAAAGTAGCAATGCCTTCATCAGAGTTATGAGTACAGTTGATGGTCCAAAACTCTTCTGGCTCATGTGATTGTATCTCCCAATACCGCTCCACAATGAAACCCAGGGTAGGAAACTACAAACATAAGGGAAGCCAAAATCAATTTCAGTCCCAAGTGAGACACATCGATACACTATTGCTATTCCGTGTGCATTATGAGCTTAAAAATACTGAGCAAACCTGACAAGGCCCATAACTTAGGATAAGATTCCTTTCATCCTGCGCGTAGTTAATGACAAACTTATCTCTCAATAGCATTGTCTGGAACCTAGTGAAGGAAGCGCCAATGCGCAGATCAATTTCCTACGAATAAATCAAGGATTTCACTTATTCACAGTTCAAAATTGATGGAGCATCAACAAAGAGTGTACATCAATGTACACTATGCCAACTTATATCTCAGCCAAAAAAATGATTATGAACTGCTAAGTGGTGAGGTCGAGTTACTCACTTGCCTAGCATCAACAGCGTCGGAAAACCACTGATTTGGAGCAACAAGATTCTGAACAGATTGATGAATTTCCCTATCGTTATGCAAAATGGAACCATCAGCAAAACCTAAGAGGCTAGTAAGTAACCAAACGAGCAAAACCTAAATACACGAGTCTTTGAGACCTCTCAATTAGAGATGAGAAACGAGCTCTCCGTACTGTAAGACGTGAATTTGCTGCTCTACAAACTTCCATTACTTCAAACGCGATGTTCTCTCCCTCTCTATCGCAATCGAGCCACAGAACAAGCCACTGACATCTTCTCGCTTCCTCTTCCAGTGATCTCTTTATATCTTTCTTGTCCTGGTCAGCGAATCGAACGAATGCAGCGATAAACAAAAAGAGGCGAATCCTTAACGGAGAATTGAAACGGCGAAGAAACTGCCCTACCTCGGGAACGAATTTACGGACGGGAGCGGTGTAGAGGTCGGTGGGATCGCATGAATGCCACTTGCGGAAGCGGTCGTCGAAGTCCAGCTCCATGAGATGGCCGGTGACGGAGGTCATGAGCATGTGGCACTGCTGGCCGTTGATTGAGTAATTGAACTCGAAGATTTTGTTGTATCGCGAGCGCCCTTCCCTCGTCCGGAACTGGTTCCGGGATAGTATGCCGGCTACTGACTTTGCCACCGACGGCTTCTCCGCTACGTTCAAGACGCTGATCGCCGCCATCGCAGTCGGCGACGGTTGCGCAGCTGGCGTTGTGGAGTCGAAGTTGAATTTCTGCGGTGGAGGCGACGGCACAAAATGTTTGGGTTGCTCTCTTTTACTTTGATTCTGAAATGTGACCTGCGAAGCTGCAGCAATGATTTGGGATTTCCCGCCTAATAGGATTCGGCTAAATGTAGTAAACCATCCCTGTGGTTTTTGCGTTTTTCAATTTAACATCCGAATCTATCTATCTATCTATCTATATGATAAACCCAAAGGTAGGGTTTAAGGTCAAAGTTTCGTAGCTAAGAGGTCTAGAACCTCGATTACTTCTTTTCGAACAAGAACTCACAAAAACAGGGTCGATTTTGTGGGTTGGGTGGTGAGTTTCGTGCAACTTTCACGAGGGAAAAGAGGCTCGAGACTTTAGGTCGATGCTTGGCCACGATCAGGGTGATGAACTGATCGATACAAGCCCACGATTGCTCAGAATCCTCCAAGCAATCCTACTCAATTCTTCAAGCAAACTTGCGAGATGAATCAAAGCTCTACTTTGTATTCGCAGCTCAGCAAGACAGTCTTAAACAAGCTCCATGAATGTGCAAGGTTCCAGCCTCGACTCTTCTCCATGAATGTCAAATAGATCCCCAAAGTTGCCTTGCTGGTCACACTCCTTGCCTTAGCCGATTTCTGGCCTTTTCTCGGTTTTGTCCTAGGGTTTTGTGAGACTCTAAACACGACTCTCCCAACTCCTTCTCGAGCTCCCAACCATTTCCTCTTATAGAGAAACTTCCCAGCTTCATAACAAGCCTTCATTCGCCCTTATTCATTGAGCCAAATAAAAGTTGCATACGTGCAAAGAAGGGTACCTGAAACACTTGCAACGCTTGGGAAAAATTCATAATTCTTGTTAGTGTTTGAGATTACTTTTCGATCAAGCAATTCAAGCTTGTTGGTTGAACCAAATTGGATCATATCAGGCCCCCCTCTCTTGAAAAAGTGTTGCCCTCAACACTTGTATCCTCCGTTTCTCAAACCTCTCACCAAATTGCACCCAAACAGGATCTGACAAGGCCTGCCCGAACTGCCAAATTGGTGCTTAATGGACTTAATGGTCGTTGAAGAAAAGCCTCAGGCCGAATTCGTCATCTGTAGACTTCTAAATCCAAAGAAATGGCCTTTCTTCGCCCAAAAAATTACGAAAATGCCATCAGAAAATAAATTGGCCCAAATCGGTGTTTACTGGACTTATCATCCATGGAGAATAGGATCAATAGACTTCATTATCGCTGGAGAATAGCCTCGGCCTGATTCCGTGATCTGCAGCCTCCCGAATGGAAAGAAAATTGCATTTCGGAAAAATCGCTCGAAATCTGTGATGGCACCCTTTTGGAATCTGCCAAAAATTTACCCGGAATAAATCTGCCCAAATCCGTGCTTAATGGACTTAATCATCATTGAAGAATACCCTCAGGCTGAATTTGTGATTTGCCCAAAATTGCCCAAAATTTACACCGAATAAATCCGCCCAAATTGGTGCTTAATGGTCTTAATCAACGTTGAAGAATAGCCTCCGGCCGAATCCATCATCTGTAGCCTTCAAAATCCAATGAAAATGGCCTTTCGTCGCCGAAAAAATTACAAAAATGCCATCAGAAAATAAATTGGCCCAAATCGGTGCTTATTGGATTTATCATCCGAGGAGAATAGGATCAATAGACTTCATTATCGGTGGAGAATAGCCTCAGCCTGATTCCGTGATCTCCAGCCTCCAGAAACGAATGAAAATAACATTTTGGAAAAATCGCACGAAATTTGTGATGGTACCCCTTTAGAATGTGCAAAAAATTGACCCGGAATAAATCCGCCCAAATCGGTGCTTAATGGACTTGATTATCGTGTAAGAATAGCCTCAGACAGAATCCGTGATCTGTAGCCTTCAAAGTCCAAGAAAATGGCCATTCGTCGCCCAAAAATTTATGAAAATGCCATCCGGAAATAAATTGGCCCAAATCAGTGATGAATGGACTTATCATCCGTGGAGAATAGGATGAATAGACTTCTTTATCGGTGGAGAATAGCCCCGGCCTGATTCCGTGATCTGTAGTCACCAGAATTAAAAGAAAATGACATTTCGGAAAAATCACCTGAAAATCTGTGATGGTGCCCCTTTAGAATCTGCCAAAAATTGACACGGAATAAAGCCACCCAAATTCTTGTTTAATAGACTTAATCATCGTTGAAGAATAGCCTCAGGCTGAATTTGTGATTTGTAGCCTTCAAAATATAAAGAAAATGGCCGTTCATCGCCCAAATCGGTGCTTAAAGGACTTATAATCCGTGGAGAATAGGATCAATAGACTTCATTATTAATGGAGAATAGCCTCGGCTTGATTCCGTGATCTGCAGCCTCCAGAATCGAAAAAATGACATTTTAGAAAAATCGCCTGAAATTTGTGATGGTACCCCTTTCTACTCTGCCAAAAATTGGCCCGGAATAAATCCGCCCCAAATCGGTGCTTAATGGACTTAATCATCTATGAAGAATAGCCTCAGGCCGAATCTGTGATCTGTAGCCTTTAAAATCAAAAGAAAATGGCCATTCGTCGCTGAAAAATTTACGAAAATGCCATCCTAAAATAAATTGGCCCAAATCGGTGCTGAATGAACTTATCATTAGTGGTGAATAGGATCAATAGACTTCATTATCGGTGGAGAATAGCCTCGGCCAGATTCCGTGATCTGCAGCCACCAGAATTGAAAGAAAATGGCATTTCGGAAAAATCACCCGAAAATCTGTGATGGTACCCCTTTGGAATCTACCAAAAATTGCACGGAATAAATCCACCCAAATCGTTCTTAATAGACTTAATCATCGTTGAAGAATAGCCTCAGGCCGAATTCGTGATCTATAGCATTCTAAATCCAAAAAAATGGCCTTTCGTTGCCCACAAAATTACGAAAACGCCATCCGAAATAAATTGGTCACAAATCAGTGCTTAATGGACTTATCATCCGTGCATAATAGGATCAATAGACTTCATTATCCATGGACAATAGCCTCGACATGATTCCGTGATCTGCAGCCTCCAGAATCGAAAGAAAATGGCATTTCGGAAAAATCGTTCGAAATCTGTGATGGTACCCCTTTGGAATCCGCCAAAAATTGACCCGGAATAAATCTGGCCAAATTGTTGCTTAGTGGACTAATTCATCGTTTAAGAATAGCCTGAGGGCGAATCAGTGATCTATAGGCTTCATAATCCAACGAAAATGGCCTTTCGTCGCCAAAAAAATTAAGAAAATGCCATCAGAAAATAGATTGGTCCCAAATCAGTCCTTAATGGACTTATAATTCATGCAGAATAGGATATATAGACTTCATTATCGGTGGAGAATAGCCTCGACCTGATTCCGTGATCTGCAGCCTCCAAAATCGAAAGAAAATGGCATTTCGGAAAAATCGCTCGAAATCTATGATGGTACCCCTTTGGAATCTGCTAAAAATTTACACGGAATAAATTCGCACAAATCTGTGCTTAATGGACTTCATCATCGTTGAAGAATAGCCTCAGGCCGAATTCGTAATTTGTAGCCTTCAAAATCCAAAGAAAATGGCTTTCATAGACAAAAAAAATTACGAAAATGGCATCCGAAAAAAATTTGGCCCAAATCGGAGATTAATGGACTTATCATCCGTGGAGAATCGGATCAATAGACTTCATTATTGATGGAGAATTGCCTCGGCCTGATTCTGTGTTCTGCAGCCTCCAGATTCGAAAGAAAATGGCATTTCGCAAAAATCGCTCGAAATCTGTGATGGTACCCCTTTGGAATCCGCCAAAAATTGACCCGGAATAAATCTGCCCAAATCGGTGCTTAGTGGACTAATTCATCATTTAAGAATAGCCTGAGGCCGAATCAGTGATCTATAGGCTTCATAATCCAACGAAAATGGCCTTTCGTCGCCAAAAAAATTAAGAAAATGCCATCAGAAAATAGATTGGTCCCAAATCAGTCCTTAATGGACTTATAATTCATGCAGAATAGGATATATAGACTTCATTATCGGTGGAGAATAGCCTCGACCTGATTCCGTGATCTGCAGCCTCCAAAATCGAAAGAAAATGGCATTTCGCAAAAATCGCTCGAAATCTGTGATGGTACCCCTTTGGAATCTGCCAAACATTTACCCGGAATAAATCCTCCCAAATCTGTGCTTAATGGACTTCATCATCGTTGAAGAATAGCCTCAGGCCGAATCCGTAATCTGTAGCCTTCAAAATCCAAAGAAAATGGCTTTCGTAGACCAAAAAATTACGAAAATGGCATCCGAAAATAAATTGGCCCAAATCGGAGCTTAATGGACTTATCATCCGTGGAGAATCGGATCAATAGACTTCATTATCGATGGAGAATTGCCTTTTCCTGATTCTGTGTTCTGCAGCCTCCAGATTCGAAAGAAAATGGCATTTCGCAAAAATCGCTCGAAATCTGTGATGATACCCTTTTGGAATCAGCCAAAAATTAACCCGAAATAAATCTGCCCAAATAGGTGCTTAGTGCACTAATTCATCGTTTAAGAATAGCCTGAGGCCGAATCAGTTATCTATAGGCTTCATAATACAAAGAAAATGGTCTTTCGTCGCCCAAAAAATTACGAAAATGCCATCCGAAAATAAATTGCTCCCAAATCAGTGCTTAATGGACTTATCATTCGTGCAGAATAGGATCAATAGACTTCATTATCAGTGGAGAATAGCATCGACATGATTCCGTGATCTGCAACCTCCAAAATCGAAAGAAAATGGCATTTCGTAAAAATCGCTCGAAATCTGTGAGGGTACCCCTTCGGAATTTGCCAAAAATTTACCCGGAATAAATTCGCACAAATCTGTGCTTAATGGACTTCATCATCGTTGAAGAATAGCCTCAGGCTGAATCCGTAATCTGTAGCCTTCAAAATCCAAAGAAAATGGCTTTCGTAGACAAAAAAATTACGAAAATGGCATCCGAAAAAAAATTGGCCCAAATCGGAGCTTAATGGACTTTTCATCGATGGAGAATCGGACCAATAGACTTCATTATCGATGGAGAATTCCTCAGCCTGATTCTGTGTTCGTCAGCCT